GATAATAGAATTGTCATATCATTCACTGCTGCTGATGCTCTTAATAAGATGGCGACATAAAGCTGGTCATAAGTAAATAAAGGACTTGTGTAAGATTTACAGCGACTTTTTTTTGAGATGTTGACATTGCAAAAGGCTCGCTTGTAACAAAAGCACCCAAAAAAGTATTTGGGTTAAGCAATTACCCTTTCAATTCCATGATCCTCATTTAATCAACATCGCAATCATCATTATCATCAACAGAAAAGCATTTAGGTCAGCCATCAGCAATGCCGCCGCCAAAATTAATTCAACCTCAGCTTATTTTTTTCTGCTCAAGATTGGACAGATTTCGCCTTTTTTCGACTTCTTTAATCTATCTTTTGGTATTCGACTATATGAACTATGATAATCACCCTACGCTTCCTAATACATTCTTGAAGTACTTTTCAAGGCGCTTCCGATGGTGCTAACTGTAATAGGTGTTTTGATTGAAACTATTGAGCAATTCAATAAAATCTGAAATGAGGTTTTTAGCAAAAATAGCCATATTTTGTATATGAAAGCCTCATAACAGTGGTTTCAGAGGTTGCTATGGATCGAGAGAAACATTTTGATTTGATATATGCCATAGTAAAAGTCTTTATTTTCAAGGCGAAAAATGCGATCCTTTGATTTTCGTAAAAAAACCATGAGGGGTACCTCATGCTTTTTGGTTGATTTTTGGCCATATTTTTTAGGTTTTCAAAAAGTTGAGCAAAGGTGTCAGAAAGTTACTACTACTCAAGTGCAATTGTTTGGCGTTATTCCGGTGGCTCAGAAATGTCTACATGTCAAGATATGAAGGCTTGGAAACTGTCCAATTTGGTTATGTTTATGCTTTATAGCTTTTATTTACACGGTATAAACCACATCTTTAGTAGCTAAAGCCGTCTGGAAGGGCAGTTCTGCAACCTGTGCAACTTGTAATTTTAACAGGAGACATATTGATTTTGTAAGACTAATTCATACGAATTTTGATGCCCCATGTTGCTGGTAAGCTTATTATTAACAATGCAAATGAGAACCCGAATTTGCTGCTTGAACATTATAGTTGTACACCTTTGCTTGGCTACGGTATATTCGATCAGGACTAATATCAACAAATGTTGAATTAGATGCAATATCACTACACTTGACGACGGTGTCACCCTGCGGGCTGTCGCCGTAGACATTCCAAATCATTAACAATAATAAACTCAGCTATAAATGTAGATTTTAAACAATCCATTATTAATAAAGAAGGAGAGAAATCGAATTTACTACTAAGATACTACGATTTTGCATATTCGCTTCGCAACAATCAAGCCCTCGTATAGATCAATACTATGAAAGGCTGGACTGGATTATATGTGAATACAACACGTAGAAAGACATGGCTTACAAATTTACTGAGTTTATTAAAGATGCATGCATTGAATACCCCAAAGAGTAGCACACATTATTATGTTGCCTTTGTTGCAGAAGCGGGCCCATACTGTTTAATTTCATTAATAGGATGCTATCTATTGCACGGCATGAGATAGTAAAAAGATAACATACATGAAAAATTGTCTTTTAATACTATACGATACAATGTTTGCCATAATATTCATTAGATACTGTTTCTCAATCGCTTGATGACCGTGTGAAATATACAAAATAATCCAATCAGACTGTAGATAATAATCTTCATAAACTGCTACTGTAGTGGAATTAGGTTCTCGAAACTTTGTGGTACTATATTCGCTTTTACTATGCCATCGCGTTGTTGAACAGTTCGTAATATATGAATGTTATTTTGAATGTGTACTAGAGCTGATTCGTTTAAAAGTTACTGGCAGATAAATGTAAAATTATCAAATAGTTTCCGCATAGAATGTTACAAAGTGTTTGTTATTTAATGGTGTTGTGAGTATAAGTAACAGATTTAGATAAATGTATATGTCTCAGCAGTATAAGTGAGAAAAAAAATAACCTTTATTATTTTTGATATTCATATTAACTATAAAAGTTACTAACAAAGTCTGTGTGCACCTGTGTCGTGTGTATAGGTATAGTTTTAGAGTAGACTTAGATAAATGTATATAAAAGAATAGAATTGAGATATAAGATGATCTTTATTGTTTTACAAACTAAGTTGATATTTATACTAAATTAAAAAAAGTTACACACAAAGTCTGTGTGTACCTGACACCTGACAATGAAAAAAAAAAAGGAGGGGAGCTTGCTTCTTTTATACTGACGCCGAAAGCTCACGTCTGGGCCACACTTCTTTATATAAAGACGCTGATGGTCTCACGTCTGACATTTAACTAACATTGAATTCTTATATATGGTGAGAAAATCTTAGTATTGTCAAATTGTGGTTTTTTTTAAATTTATCACATTTTCATGGGTAAGAATGTAATGAATTGAAAGGTTTGAAATTGTTTTGATCGAATTGACTATTCCCAATAACGGAAAATAATTTAGTTAAAATGTAATGGCAGAAGGTTCTTTAAATTATTCCGGTAATATAAGTATTGCTGGTTGCTGACTAGCAAATTCAGAGTGAATTCTTTTGGAGTTGTACTGTATAAACGTGCATTCAACTACTATCAAGGTAAGCTCTAGGCCATGGTATGGTATAGCACCACGGAGGTTTCATATATCGGATACTGGAAAATATGAACACAAAAGCGCTATCGTAGTTAATCAGAGATTAAAGGCCCTTCTTCCCAGAACATGGCGTATCTGATCAAGTGATTTCTTGTTTGCTATTTGGCTATGGATTGCGTGATATGTTGTTTCAAGGCAACACTTGTTGGTATCATTGGCCTTGAAGGGGTTATACTGTAGTCAAACGAAGGTGAATGGCCATTACAGTCCAGCATTTAATCCAACTTTTGTTAGCATTAATTTATATAAGGTTTTATCTAGGGAGGCGAAGGTGCAATACCAAAATAGTATTCAAGCATCTGGCCCAATACATGATAACAGCGATTTTAAAGGTGGTTTTACCGTAGCGAAGCCAAAATGTAAAGGCTTGGTGTTTAAATAGCATATTCGGTTTCTCATTTCCATTATCATTTTGAACTGGTTTTACAAGCTCATCGTCTATCAATCCATGACAACTGGGAAAGAATTGTACCTGTGGAATACATCCACTATGATCTGCATTCCGACAGTTCGTCCAGTTACCAGATTTAGATATAAACTATATGTACACTGGATTAGATGTACGATACCGATTTTTACTATAAGATATGAACTTCAGATGCGCTAGTACTATGAGATTCGTACTATATAGGATATAGGCTATAGATGGCACCACGGACATGGATGGCGTTATAGACTTATACTTGTATTCCGACATTGACTACGGATGTTTACCATATCTGGATAGGCACCAAGATTAATGCAATATGAGCTTGTTGCTTCAGATATGCACTTTATGATCCACGCTATAAGACACATGCTTATATCCGTGATACTAGCTACAGATACTTTATGTACTACAGACTTGTGCAATATATGAGACATGCTATAGACATGCCATATATCCAGATACATGCTAAGATGTATGCTCAGCGATATACACTCAGATATGTACTATTGATATAGACTAAGGAGACTGTACCTATCGGATAATACATGATACTAGATCGATATTAATTATCCTTATAGAAAGGATAGATCAGGATAGATCAGGGTACTTTGGATGAGAGTTTAATTATTCATCCAGGCAAAGCTAAATCATGATTAGACATTAGTTGATCTGAGTTGACTTATTTGTCAATCTAATTAATAGAACTTTTATCCATTGTTATAGTATATAAGAAGGATCATCTACCTGGCCAGTAGAGAGACTTCAGTTTACTTTACACCTGTCAGTTTGGTAATAAAATATACCTTTATCAAGTTGACATTACTGTTTTTTTTTATTCTTTTTTTTTTCGTGAATTTTAGTCTATCAAGCCTCAAATTCCAGAGTGCCAGCCAAGTTACCAACTGGAATGGCTTGTTGGTATACAAGCATGGTTGCTAAACAAGGTCGTTTAACTTGGTCCGAATTCCGTACAGCAGTTATCAACAAGTATGGTCGATCAAGCATTGATATGAGAGATGCGGCAAGAGAGCAGTTGGAACGACTAGTGTATCAACAAGGAGAGGCTTTCAATCAATTTGTTGACAAATTCCAACAATTGCGCAATCAGGCTGAAATCCAGGATGAGGATAGTATCGTTCGTTATTTGATCAAGGCCCTTCCAGAAGAGTTGGCGAACTACACCAAGTTTTCTCTCAATACCAATTCTAATAAGTAGGAGATCACCGTGGATTTGGTGGTCAACAAGATAACAGCTATCTACAACGCTCTGTTTAAGGACAAGTGGGAAAGAGAACGTAAAAAAGCAACTCCAGTAACATCCTCCGCCTCAATTTTGAATAACAATAGTGCTAGCAAGTGTTTAGGATATAGATCATCTCTGAGAGGCAAATGTATTAGGCGTTGTATATTACATAAGAGGATCTGAGAATGAGCTGAGATGCATAGTAGAAGTGAGAGGTCTTTATTCAAGCAGCACGAAGGAACATGAGTGGTGCCATCAAATGGCTAATCTATATCCTTCGTTCCTGGAGAGTGGTAGCCTATGGCCTTTCGTCCCTGGAAGTGGGTTTCAATTCCGACAAATGTTCTTCCGTCAAAGCTATTAGGAAGAACATTCTATCCTGGATTATCTTTGTTGTTTATCCTTGACTGGTGGTTCATGAGTTCTTATGCAGCACATCCTCGTTAACTGGTTCAAGGCTTATAATACAATTATCCCGCATTCAAGATCAAGGTCCTATTGCTGCGGCACTGTCAAATAACTTTAAATACCTTTGATATCTACACTATTTTTGATCCCTATTCAATCTTGGAATAACATAATAAAAATATTCAGTTCTAATTGTATTTACTCTGTCTATATTTCGTTCTTCTAAACACCAAGGTCACCAGTCACTCACCCAAACGATGCATGTATCATCCGAATGCCCACAATCATCGCACCAAGGATTGCAAAGCATCTGACAGCATGAAAAAACGAATCGATGAGGCACAAAGGAAGTTTGGTGAGGTCAACACTCGTATTTGTCACGATTGCAAGGAGTCAGGATGGACTCCAGCGCACAGGGCCGTGTGCAAGATGAAGAATAATCAACCAAGATTTCGAAGTAAGGTCGTCAAGAAGACGATCGTCCCTGTGCCCAATCAGCAGACTGATTACAACTCTGATGACAATATGGATACGGATACGGAATCCGAAGAGCAGAGCATGACCTTCGCAGCCATGAGCATTGTTTGGTCTTTGTCTAGTCTTTGTCCGGTCTTTGTCTGGTCTTTGTTTAGTCTTTGTCTGGTCTTTGTTTAGTCTTTGTTTGGTCATTGTCTGATCTTTGTCTGATCTTTGTCTGGTCTTTGTCTGGTCTTTGTCTGATCTTTGTCTGATCTTTGTCTGGTCTTTGTTTGGTCTTTCTCTGGTCTTTGTCTGGTCTTTGTCTGGTCTTTGTCTGATCTTTGTTTGGTCTTTGTTTGGTCTTTGTCTGGTCTTTGTCTGGTCTTTGTCTGATCTTTCTCTGGTCTTTGTCTGACCTTTCTCTGGTCTTTGTCTGATCTTTCTCTAGTCTCTGTCTGGTCTTTGTCTGATCTTTGTCTGGTCTTTGTTTGGTCTTTGTTTGGTCTTTGTTTGGTCTTTGTCTGATCTTTCTCTGGTCTTTGTTTGGTCTTTGTCTGGTCTTTGTCTGGTCTTTGTCTGATCTTTGTTTGATCTTTGTTTGGTCTTTGTCTTATGTTTCTCTGGTCTTTGTTTGATCTTTCTCTGGTCTTTGTCTGATCTTTGTCTGATCTTTGTCAGGTCTTTGTTTGGTCTTTGTTTGGTCTTTGTTTGGTCTTTGTTTGGTCTTTGTTTGGTCTTTGTTTGGTCTTTGTTTGGTCTTTGTTTGGTCTTTGTCTGATCTTTCTCTGGTCTTTGTCTGGTCTTTGTCTGATCTTTGTTTGGTCTTTGTTTGGTCTTTGTTTGGTCTTTGTTTGGTCTTTCTCTGATCTTTCTCTGGTCTTTGTCTGATCTTTCTCTGGTCTTTGCCTGGTCTTTGTCTGGTCTTTGTCTGGTCTTTGTCTGATCTTTGTTTGGTCTTTGTCTGGTCTTTCTCTGGTCTTTGTCTGATCTTTGTTTGGTCTTTGTTTGGTCTTTGTCTGGTCTTTGTCTGGTCTTTGTCTGGTCTTTGTCTGGTCTTTGTCTGATCTTTCTCTGATCTTTCTCTGGTCTTTGTCTGATCTTTCTCTGGTCTTTGTCTGATCTTTGTCTGATCTTTCTCTGGTCTTTCTCTGGTCTTTGTCTGGTCTTTGTCTGATCTTTCTCTGGTCTTTGTCTGATCTTTCTCTGGTCTTTGTTTGGTCTTTGTCTGATCTTTCTCTGGTCTTTGTCTGATCTTTGTTTGGTCTTTGTTTGGTCTTTGTCTGGTCTTTGTCTGGTCTTTGTCTGATCTTTCTCTGGTCTTTGTCTGATCTTTGTTTGGTCTTTCTCTGATCTTTCTCTGGTCTTTGTCTGATCTTTGTCCGGTCTTTGTCCGGTCTTTGTCTGGTCTTTGTTTAGTCTTTGTCTGATCTTTGTCTGGTCTTTGTCTGGTCTTTGTCTGATCTTTGTCTGGTCTTTGTCTGGTCTTTGTCTGGTCTTTGTCTGATCTTTGTTTGGTCTTTGTTTGGTCTTTGTCTGGTCTTTGTCTGGTCTTTGTCTGATCTTTCTCTGGTCTTTGTCTGGTCTTTGTCTGATCTTTGTCTGGTCTTTCTCTGATCTTTGTCTGGTCTTCGTCTGGTCTTTGTCTGGTCTTTGTCTGATCTTTCTCTGGTCTTTGTCTGATCTTTGTTTGGTCTTTGTTTGGTCTTTGTCTGGTCTTTGTCTGATCTTTCTCTGGTCTTTGTCTGATCTTTGTTTGGTCTTTCTCTGATCTTTGTCTGATCTTTGTCTGGTCTTTGTCTGGTCTTTGTCTGATCTTTGTTTGGTCTTTCTCTGATCTTTGTCTGGTCTTTGTCTGGTCTTTCTCTGATCTTTCTCTGATCTTTGTCTGATCTTTGTCTGGTCTTTGTCTGGTCTTTGTCTGGTCTTTGTCTGGTCTTTGTCTGATCTTTGTTTGGTCTTTGTTTGGTTTTTGTTTGGTCTTTGTTTGGTCTTTGTCTGATCTTTCTCTGGTCTCTGGTGTCGTTTGTTCTCTGGTTTTTCGATGGTGCTGCTATTGCTGCTGCTGTTGCGAATCTGGTCTTTCCTGGTTTACTGTCTTTGGTGCATGCTTCTTCTCTGGTCTATTTGTGGTTGTGGTAATTGGTAAGTATCTTCTTTCTTCTAGTCGGAATGATATAAAACTTCTTTGAACGTTTGTATTATTGCTTCCTTTCCCGTGATAATGCATTTTATCATGATGTTTACTTTGTTGCGCTTTCTTCTTCTTTTGCTGGTTGTGTTGCCTCTGTGGCTTGACATGAGACAACATTAGTCATTATGTTGTAGTGCAAATTTATACCACCATTGCTTTTGCAGTTGAGCGTATTTGTGTTACTCTACATTCGACTATTTACCATGCACTTTGCTCATGTATGCAATTCTGTTGCAACAACAACGAGCTCTTTTGAACATCTACAGTGCGCGAAAAAAACGTTCCAGTGTTTTGCCAAATTGCACTTATAGCCAGTTTTCTCTGCAAATATCAAAGCTACTGGGGTTTGCTTAGTTTCATAAATAGCCTAAGTAGTTGGCTATCAGATGATATATTATGCACTTTATTCACGTAATTAGAAAAAGAATGGTAGCCTCATGAAAAGTGAAAAGTCGAATTTATTAAATCTTATAAAAAAGCTCAATATTTAGTTGGACCACCTTTACTCTTGATAACCGCTTTGATTCGGCGTGGCATGCTGCCTATGTATTTAAGACAGTCTTCTTTTGTGAATTTATAACATTCCTGTTCAATTCTGTCTTCTAACTCAGAAATGCTGGTGGCCCTAGTAGGGTACTTGTTCAAACGACGTTTTAGTTGATGCCAGACATGTTCAATGGGGTTTTGGTCAGGGCTTTGGGGGGAGGCCAATCAAGAACATTTTGAACAGAGAATCCGTGATGCGTGAACCATTTTTTAATGGGACCAGAAGTATGTGGTCTTGCGTTATCTTGCTGGAATCTAAACGTTTTCTTGTCCAGCCCATAGTACTTGATAGTGTCTAGCAAAGATGAGTCCAGAATTTCAGCATAAACTTCTGAGTTAACAGTTCCTTCGGTAATGGTGGAACCATAGCTTGGTTCCTCCGCTGTTATCATGCCCCAGAAAACAACGCCACCACCATCTCCCTGAACTTGAGCCTCAGTTTGATGAGGCATCAACTCAGTGGGCCTGTCAGTCCAGTAGAAAGATTCGCCGTCAGATCTGTTGTAACTGTCTGAAATACGTGAGAATGGATATGTCTTTTTATTTTCAGTAAAATCAGATAGAGAGAAAAGGGAAGGGTGAATGTCTACTGCTATTTATATGTATGATTTATGGATTGCTTACACACCCGTCTAGAATGGTGTTCTCATGCTAAGTTTTAGTGTCAATCCTCACTTATGCTAAATGGTAATTATTTCAGATATAGATGATCAGTCTAGATATCTTTAGTAGCTCTTGGCAACGTTAATTACTTACATTCCTTATCTGCTATCTTTTGACATATAGAGAATAGCTTATCGAAACTTAGCTTATGTGAATATCATGATTATCGTTTACATGTTGAACAGCTTATTTACATATGCTCCATATGTGCATAGTTTATTGCTCAATTCAATCTACGACATTATGATTCAGGAACAGTTATATGTGTGAATACAACAAGATCCCCACATGTTGACCCTGGTTTCATCGGAAAATCCCCATTTACGCCAATCGTCCGCAGTCAAATGTCGATGTCTCTTGGCCCACACAAGACGCTTTTTCCGGTTCTCCGCAGACACGAAATTGGTCTTTACCTTTCTTTTAGCCTTGAACCCTTTGCGCTTGAGTATATACTGTATATTCCTCAAAGTCATCTGAACTCCCATATGAGCAAGGTAGCACTGCACACCCTTGGGGCCGTCTAAATTACCATTGCGGAGATTCCTCTCAATGTAGTTCATATTTTGCGTAGTGATTTTGCTGCGTCTTCCGGGTTTGGCATGTTTTGAATGACCAAGAAACTTCTTCCTATAGCGAGAAAGTACACTGACGGACAAATTTGGGAAGATTTTTTGAATGGCACGGAGGGAACAACCTTGGTTGAAAAGAGCCTTGACAGATCCTTGAACCTCCTGAGGAATGGGACGTGTCATGTTAAAAAAAGTGATGAAGTAAAGATGGTAAAATATAATGAGGGAAAAGACCAAAATCTCAGGCTTCTTTATACTTTTTTAAGCATTCCTCGGATAACTAACATTTTAAACATAACTGATATAAAAAATTACGGCTCTCAGATTATTTTCGTGGAATGTATACAAACAATAAGGTCATCAAGCGATATTTCCAATTTTACAAAATCGAAATTTTTTACTTTACGTCAGTTGCACTTGCTTAATATCTAGTGTATCAATTATTTTAGTAGCTCATTTTGTGGCTAAAAACTCAAGCTTTCGTAGTCTTACTTTAGTTTTAAAACTGAAAAAAATTGACAGAGCTGTAAGTGTAAAACTACGAATTGGCAAAACACTGGAACGTTTTTTTCGCGCACTGTATGCATCCACTATGATCTGCATTCCGACAGTTCATCCAGTTACCAGATTTAGATATAAACTGTATGTACACTGGATTAGATGTACGATATCGATTTATACTATAAGAAGATATGGACTTCAGATACGCTAGTGCTATAAGATCCATACTATATAAGATATAGACTATAGATGACTCCACGGACATGGATGGCGCTATAGACTTATACTTGTATTCCGACATTGACTACGGATGTTTACCATATCTGGATAGGCACCAAGATTAATGCAATATGAGCTTGTTGCTTCAGATGTGCACTTCATGATCCACGCTATAAGACACATGCTTATATCCGTGATACTAGCTACAGATACTTTATATACTACAGACTTGTACTATATATGAGACATGCTACAGACATGCATACGATATGCTATAGACATGCCATATATCCAGATACATGCTAAAGATGTATGCTTAGCGATATACACTCAGATATGTACTATTAATATAGACTAAGAAGACTGTACCTATCGGATACTTGCTACTAGATCGATATTAATTATCCTTATAGAAAGGATAATAGATCAGGGTACTTCGGATGAGAGTCTAATTATTCATCCAGACAGAGCTAAATCATGACTAGCTTGCTGGAGTTGTCTTTTAGCATGATTAGACATTAGTTGATCTGAGTTGACTTATTTGTTAATCTAATTAATAGAACTTTTATCCATTGTTATAGTATATAAGAAGGATCATCTACCTGGCCAGTAGAGAGACTTCAGTTTACTTTACACCTGTCAGTTTGATAATAAAACATACCTTTATCAAGTTGACATTACTGTTTTTTTTATTCTTTTTTTTTCCTTGAATTTTAGTCTATCAGGCCTCAAATTCCACAGGTGTGATTGAATACACTGTGATCAGGAGTGATTCATTCACACGATGTGCGATATAAGCATACATCTTTACTTTAGTATTTTTAAATGGTTTTTTGATGTACATTTGAGCGCTTTCATTAATAGATCCAAATAGCATGAATTTGAATGAGTGCTATTTGATGAACTTTGGTTTTCAATTAAGTTGCGTTTGGGTGGCTATTTCATTACAGACTTTAATGTTTTTTTATTCTTTTTTTCCGTGAGTTTTAGTCTTATAAAGCCTCAAATTTCACAACAATAGCACAGAAGCGTTTATAAGGTGCTCAAGTCTATAAAAAACTCCAGGGCATGTATTGACTAATATTGGCGCAAACCAAAAAAAGTATATGCGCCCATATATTGTAGCAGAAAACAGTGTTTGAGTGATTGATTTTGGAGCATTTGCCTTTTCGGCAGTGTAGTTCCGTGAATAATCCATTTAAACCCGATTTTATCGTAGTCTGCTTATGCCGACCATTGTATTACAAAAGTTACAGGTATTATGAATCTTTGTTTATTAGTCAATTTTGATATATTGATATATAAGTTTGTTGTTTGCTTCCCACATTGTGTTAACAACACCGACTCGGCGTGTTCGGTCCCAGTCATTATTTGTTTTGAGTTATGAGTCTCCAACATTATGGATAGGCTTTAAACTTAGTTATATAGCGTAATATCGAATCATCTTGTTGTGGACGACCGTCAACAGTGTACTGCTGACCAATGATTATCTCGTTTAATCCAAGCAAACTGTCAGATTCAAACTTGCACAATATCATTGGCACGCAAGTCTTCAAATAACTATAGTCGCGCATTTCAGGAAGAACGTTCCACGCTTTAGAATCAGAATGCAAGCTCTTATCACTTGCGCTTTGAGTTTCTTCGTAAATACAGAGCATCTAGATCATCAGACAGTTTGTGATTTACATACTCGCTCGGCAATACAACCTCCTGCACCATATTTTTAGGTCAAGTTTTGTTCAAATCTAGCCATTTGCAAGCACGAATAACTCATGCCACAGCGCATTTTGGGCACCTGGAATAGCACCAAACGGCTTCTCTTGGCTGCGCTTTACTTACTGGTGCTTTATCTCAATTTTTTTTGGGTCATTGCAAATCCATAAAAATTCCCATATTTTCACGAGTATTAGCAAGGGATAATTCTTGAAAATCAAACGATCGCGTTTTTCACCCGAAAAATGAAGACTTTTACTATAATACATTTTAGACCAAATTGATCGCAAGGATGTAATGCAGCATTGAAAACTCTTTCTATGAGGCTTGTATATACTAGACGTTGACATATTCAGAGAAAACCTGTTTCATATTTTTTCAAATTGCTCATTATTTTCGGTTTGAAAGTTGAATGTAATCAGCATCATTCGATGCGCCTTTATTGACTCTTTATGAATGCATTAGAAAGTAAAGTATAACAACGATAATTTTCATAGTCGAATATAGCAAAAACGTTTAAAGAATGTCAGATCAAGTCAAATTTGAACACGAAAATACCCCCACTGCACAATTTCAAATTAAATTGCCGCAATTACGACTGCTACTGCAGAAGACTGAGGCCAAATTTACTGGTCGTGACGTCGGATAGGGTGCCCTCTCATTTTCCATACATCCGTTTTTTTATCCTTTTTGCAAAACGCGTTTAATATCAAACCATGATGGTTTTGGAACCCTTTTGATTGAAAATAGCATTCTAGCTTCTGATAACACGGTCTTGTACTGTTAATAGTGCTTTATACTGCTTCTTTGGAATGGAATATGGTAGGTAGCATTCCATAACGAGCACTGGAAAGCATAGAATTAACACTAATTGAATTTGTTTATTAGGTTTTGATAATTTTTTTTGCCTCTT